CGAGACAAAAAGATCTGTAACACTGTAGATTTGAGGTGCGTACCTGTAGAATGAAATGTGTGTTTTGAGAGTTTTGATTTCAAACTTGTACCTTGATTTTTTCAATTTGGAAGTCTGCTAGTTACAAAACGAAAGTTTCATGTTTCTGAATGAATGTTTGACGTTACAAAATGAGTAGTAAATGTACAAAATAAAAGTTTGATTTTACAAAATAAAAAATACATGTACAAAACACAATGTTTCTGTTACAAAACAACAAATACAAGTACGAATTGAGAATTACAAGTTAGAAAACTAAAGTTACAAGTTACGAATCCAAAGTTACAAGTTACGAAGCTACATGTGATGAAACATGTTTGAAGTTACAAAACTTGGTACAAGTTACGCTGAATATTGTCCCAATCCTAGCTCCATAAGCCCCAGGCTCCGGTTAGCTTCCAGCTAAAAGGCTACAGCACTCTCCTCCCAGTCCCACCCTGCTAAAGAGGGCCTGGAAAAGTTCCCCCACACATCAAAGTGATTTTTCATTTATGAGCTTTTATAACCTTGTTAATCAGGATAGTTGGTTTGCTGCTGCACATAAACTGTCAGTCAGAAGCTCTGCTAGCCGGTTATCTTAAGAGGGGCTAGTTCAATTTGTTAGCTTGTTATCAGAATCATAGTTGCAGTTTCATCCTCTGAGCTGCTTTTTAAGATCTAGGTAAACTTGTTCAATTTGGGGTTAAAAACAAACGTTTTCACATATTTTCCATGTAGATTTTGCCAGTTCCTCTTCTGAAAGGTAAATTGTTTTTCTCTTTCCCTCAAAAAATCTTAATATTCTCCTAGTTTGGCCCAGCACAGATCACTTCCCAATTGCAGCAACAGCCTTATATCATAACCACATAAGTGGAGAAAATGTTCAGTAGCAATGAGAGAATTTGCTGTGGCATTTAAGTGATGTTAACTATTATTTAACATTTAAACTTATTTTCTGAGTTTTTTTATTTATTCAAAAACCCTGGTAAGGGATGTTTTCTGTATTTGGAGCATCAGAAAAAGTTTTATGGTGGTGGTGATGTTTTAAAGTTACTGAGAAACTGCATGCATGCAGTTTGTTGTTTTGCTACTAATACAGTAGCACGTGCAGCTGCATATTTTTGCAATAAAAATGTTATGTTGTAATGGAATTCATGCATTAGTTTTTGTTTGCTTTGAACCCAGAGCAGACGACATCAACACTGCATACTTTAGTATTTGTTCATTTATCACAAGTAATATCGATATTGCAATATTAAGCACTGTTATCAAATATCGCAGGTTTTCCTAATATCATGCAGCCCTAATTCACTTACGGTGGCACTCCGTTGTAATTTTGAAACAACTGAAGGCACTGGAGAAATGGTTTTCTTTTGCTTTTTGTACTATTTTTGCTACTGTTTATGCACAGTAAAAGTACAAATAAATACAGAAGCTGTATACATTTTAAACTTGTCATTATCTGAACCATTGTGTAATCATCCCTGTTAGGGCTGCAACTAACGATTATTTTCATAATCGATTAATCTGTCTATTATTTTTTTTCGATTAATCGATTAATCGGTTTGTTATTGTTTAGCTATTTAACCTATACAAGTGATGAATACATTTCAGTTAAGAAAAAGAAAAACATAGAATTGTGCAGTTGACTGCAATCTATTTTATTGCACATGAACACAGTCAGCGGTGTCAAATGAGCTAAACAGTGCAAAATATCAGTCCAGAATAATTTTTTGGCATCAAAATATAAGAGGTAAATTCCATAAAAAATAATGTAGAATCTAGAATAGAGTTTGTAAGTGGTATGCATTGCTGGGGTGAGTGTCTTGTTCCCCATGTAGTTGTCCATCGTTGCTTGTTTTTTTCTGCATAAGAAACACAAATAGACTGAAATAAGTACACATAAAATAAAGCAGCACACACACTACAACACTAAATCAATATTACATTATTTGAATTAATTAACAATATACAGTGATCATTTATTTTGATAAAAATGCGTTGTGAGGCGTTTTATAGCGTTAGACAGTAAAACAGCCTTTTAATAGTAAAAAAAGGACTTTCTGAATAGCTCCTGTATTTAAAAATTGAAAGCGTACAACTGCTGCGTTATATTCACCTGGACACAGCTCGTCTGTATATTTTTCTCCGCGGAGTTGTCCTTTTTTGAATGAGGAACATAGTTATGGGTTTGTGCCGTTTTTCTCTTAACGAGAACATTCTTATAAACAGACGTGCTAAATTTGGCAAGCGCATGATACACAACACGGAGGAGATTCACAATTGCATCTAGTCAATCAGAAGTAGAACACCGTAGACTGACGCGGCAAAAAAACATGTTTAACATCCACTATAACAAACTCAGCTCCCAAATTTGATCTGCGTTAGCTTGTTTATTTTCTGTTACTTACCGGACTTTCCTCTGCTGCATCAGCCCCCACATGTTTTCGTCTCAAATGTTCACTTAGGGACGTCGTGCTTCCGTCGTGCCATGGTTTTTGCATATTTTGCAGGTCACCCGTCTTTTCAAGGCATCTAGAGTGAAGTGCTCCCATACTCGTGAGGTTTTAGTCCGGGATTTCTCGTTTTGTCGCTTCTATTTTTCTTCCGTATTTCTTCTTGATCCGCCATCTCTCACAGCAAGATGAGCATCAGTAACGTGATACGTCATGAAAACCGAGGGCACTTATTGGCTCATTTCTTCTTCTACAGCTCCACTGGTAGATCAGTGGCTCATTACTGCCACACACTGGTGGCAAATTTAACAGATTGTAACCGATGTCAGACTGTGGTAAAAAATAGACTTTTAGCAGTAAAATATGATTATTAAACAACTAATCGATGACTAAAAAGTTGTTAACTATTTTAATAATCGATTATAATCGATTAAATCGATTGGTTGTTTCAGCTCTAATCCCTGCATATACAGTTGTGGTCAGAAGTTTACATACACTTGTAAAAAATATAATATAATGGCTCTACTGAGTGTCCCGTTATTTCTAAAACTCTGATTTTTCTCTGATAGAGTGATTGGAACAGATACTTCTTTGTCACAAAAAACATTCATGAAGTTTGGTTCTTTAATGTCTTTATTATGGGTTAACAGAGAAAAGTGATCACATTTGCTGGGTCACAAATATACATACAGCAGTGCTAATATTTGGTTACATGTCCCTTAGCCATTTTCACTTCAATTAGGTGCTTTTGGTAGCCATCCACAAGCTTCTGGCAAGCTTCTGGTTGAATCTTTGACCACTCCTCTTGACAGAATTGGTGAAGTTCAGTTAAATTTGATGGCTTTCTGACATGGACTTGTTTCTTCAGCACTGTCCACATGTTTTCAATGGGTTTAAGTCAGGACTTTGGGAAGGCCATTCTAAAACCCTTATTCTAGCCTGATTTAGCCATTCCTTTACCACTTTTGATGTGTGTTTGGGGTCAGTGTCCTGTTGGAACACCCAACTGCGCCCAAGACCCAACCTTCGTGCTGATGATTTTAGGTTATGTTGAAGAATGTGAAGGTAATCCTCCTTCTTCATTATCCCATTTACTCTCTGTAAAGCACCAGTTCCATTGGCAGCAAAACAGCCCCACAGCATAATATTCCCACCACCATGCTTGACTGTAGGCATGGTGTTCTTGGGGTTAAAGGCCTCACCTTTTCTCCTCCAAACATATTGCTGGGCATTGTGGCCAAAAAGCTCGATTTTTGTTTCGTCTGACCACAGAACTTTCCTCCAGAAGGTCTTGTCTTTGTCCATGTGATCAGCAGCAAACTTCAGTCGAGCCTTAAGGTGCCGCTTTTGGAGCAAAGGCTTCCTTCTTGCACGGCAGCCTCTCAGTCCATGGAGATGCAAAACACGTTTGACTGTGGACAATGACACCTGTGTTCCAGCAGCTTCTAATTCTTGGCAGATCTGCTTTTTGGTGATTCTTGGTTCACTCTTTACCCTCCTGACCAATTTTCTCTCAGCAGCAGGTGATAGCTTGCATTTTCTTCCTGATCTTGGCAGTGATGAAACAGTGCCATGCACCTTATACTTACAAACAATTGTTTGCACTGTTGCTCTTGGGACCTGCAGCTGCTTTGAAATGGCCCCAAGTGACTTTCCTGACTTGTTCAAGTCAATAATTCGCTTTTTCAGATCCATGCTGAGCTCCTTTGACTTTCCCATTGTATCGTTTGGGGGCGTTTGTATCCAGTGAGCCCTATTTACCTGGCCTAAGAGAAGTCACCAGCTGTAGTCACTCATAATCACTCACAAGAAGTTAAGAGGCCATGCTATGAAGCTCAGTTCACTGACACGTTTCTAAGTCACCTAAATTGCTAGTTCATGTTGCTGTATGTATATTTGTGACCCAGCAAATGTGATCACTTTTCTCTGTTAACCCATAATAAAGACCTTAAAGAACCAAACTTCATGAATGTTTTTTGTGACAAAGAAGTATCTGTTCCAATCACTCTATCAGAGAAAAATCAGTTTTAGAAATAACGGGAAACTCAGTAGAGCCATTATATTATATTTTTTACAAGTGTATGTAAACTTCTGACCACAACTGTATTTCATACAACAAATCTAGGAAGATATATCTTCCTAGATACACATACATACACACACACATATATTTATCGCTATCATAATAAATACCTAAAATTATTGTGAAAACAATTTTGGGCCATATCGCCCATCCCTACTAGTAAGATTCTGAAAAACGTGAGGACCAAGAAAATGTCCTCACGTTTAATAATCTTACCTCAAGAAAATGTCCTCACTTTGTAGGGAAAACGGTCAAAATGGTCATCAGTATGTACAACACGCACACACGCACGCACACACCAAGGGAAGATGTTTCATTTTTTTAGATGAGGGGAACGAACTCACCACCTCATTGTTTACTTTCTGGTTGTCGACAAACGTAATATGCCATTTATAACGTTAGCTTCACGTGTAGCCTTTAAAAGTTGTGTTAAATGAAATTACCTGAGTAGAAATGAAGAGAACACACCCTCTTTGATGGAGGAATGTAGTTGAAAGTCAGATCTTTCCTTCTCACTGCAGCTATCCACGCCATCTGGCGTCTCCTTGTGAGCTCCTCCACACTTTTACCGTGATGTTTTCTCCACTTCGGGAAGCGATAAAATTTGACTCCGTTGTCCACTTTCTCTCCCGTCTTGTCGTGTGAACGACTGTGACAGTCCTTGACGCAGCAGCAACTACCAGGCATATCCACGTCCTTGGATTCAGAGGCAGACAGAAACCTCGGTCCTCTACGGTGAGGATTAGTGAGTCCAAAATAGTAATAAATGTAAAAATGGTAAAAAGCTCATGTCGATTAATTTTACCAAGATGTGAAGGAAAAGTCGAGTGTTTACTGAATGTTACCGCGATGTTTTTGTAGCACAACGACATAACTTGTATGGTTACATGACAAAACTGCGATTGCCAAGACGAATAGGTGAAAAATGTATACGACCAGACTCTGAATTGGGGGTCCAATATTTTTCATTTATACAACAAGAAAATGCGCACAAGGTGGGCCTGAACCATCGACATATATACCTGAACATAAGGCTAGCTAAACTTAGCACTTTCGCTGGGAGGCTAGTCTACAACTTCCGGTTCAATTTCCAGCCGAGCAAGTGGCCTTGTTCGAGATTAGCAGCATAGATATGTATAAAAACACTAGACGCCTCCTCCCCGCTGTTCGCCAATGGGATGCGACGCAGGAACGTGGCGGCCATCTTACCTCATACAGCTGACCCCTTTCTTTGCACTAGGGTGAATGGTGCATGTACTATTTAATTAAAACTAACTTGCTCAGTTTTAAACCGATTTTCAAAAGGTTTGATTTGTTATAAACGCCAGAGATGTGCCTATGAAATAGGATGGGTTTGGCCCAGAAATTCCTGTTATTTTACTCCACAAAGCATTTAATCTTTCATAGATAATACATTTAATAAGCTACAGCAACTTAAAGTATAAACAGGCCATTATCTATCTATCTATCTATCTATCTGTCTGTCTGTCTGTCTGTCTGTCTGTCTGTATGTATATATATATATATATATATATATATATATATATATATATATATATATATATATATATACCGTATTCCTGGTTTGTGAAATACGATTTGTGTAGAGATGAGATTTCAAGGTTCTTTTGAGGTAAAGCCCACATTGACAGAACACAGATACAAAATGTGCACCCTAACAAGTAAGACAACCAACACCCCCAAATCTGTCAGCCGGAATCGGCCCACTAGCAATAAAATTTCACCCAGCAAATTACTTTGTATTTTCACTATTTCTTAACTTTTGTTTTCTTATTTATTGACTTTCATTTATTAATTATAAGCTCTTTGGAAATGCTTTCTGAAAAGGTTAGGAAATAATCAAAAGATAGATTAGGTTAATAAATAAGATGGATTACAGTAGACAATGGATTGATCTTGTGAAGGAGATTTTTAACATTCATAAAACCAGATAAACAATGTATAGAAGAAAGCAACTTACAATTTATAACCTATAGGGCATGTTGTGATCTGTGGGGGTAACCGGAGTACCCGGAGGAAACCCACGCATGCATGGGGAGAACACGCAACTCCACGCAGAAAGGCCATAGCCGAGTTTCGAACCTGCGACCTTCGTGCTGCGAGGCAACAGTGCTAACAACTGCACCACCATGCAGCCTTACCGGGCAATCAGGAGTTTATATTCTTCAGAAATTTCTGGGAAACGGTGCATTTGGTGAAGTTTACAAGGGTTTAAAACAGAGAACAGCTGAAGCAGTGGCTCTGAAGTTTATCACCATTGATTAAGTTAATCGATCACTTTGAATATAATGACAGCTTCTGTTTAGTGTTTGAAACATATTACATGAATATATTTGGTTTATTTCAAATGAGAGAGGGGGAACCACTAGATGTCAGTCAAGTCCAGGTGGTTTGCCCACGACCTGCTGGATCTGAGTGAACTCAAAAAAGGGAAGAAGACAAATCAAAATACACCAGATTTCATTGTTACACAGACCTTGGATACAGAGGTTGATTCTGATGAGGAAACTTCAAAGAATGAAAGCATTCAAAAGAACTCCCTTTAGTTTGAGGATGTCACCATCTGTCAAGGGGAAAGAGTAATAAGACATAATTAGGATGCAGTTTAAGTTTTAATAACTTTTATTTCTATCTAATAAATTTCTATCTTTCCCTTCACGTAAAGATACAGAATAAATTCTTAGTGAGTTTAAACTAGTGTCTGATTCAGCTTTTTAACTTTCAGCGCAGTTTTAAATATTTGAAAGAATTCTATTACAGTAATGTCCGTCTGTGAACATCAGAGTGGTAGAGGACAAACAAATCTTCATGAGAAACATTTTTAACTTCATTTGTCCATGCAGCTCTTTACTCGCTCCAACTCCAGTTACTAATCCATCCCAACTAGAGGAAGCTGTTTTTATTCTGAGATGGCCATGGTGAGTTTAGTTAGAGATGTGGATCATTTGACAGACAGCAGCAGCATTTGGCATATCATCAGTAAAGTAAAATGTGATCATGAACATGAGTAATTATTTTATTTTTTCAGTTAAGCCACATGATGCTGACTTCCGTGACCTGCTGAAGCATGCTACACACTCAGGATAACCATGGTAACACGACATGTCTTCCAGAATAACCAGAGCTGAATCAGGACGTCTGAACAACAGAACCTTCACAACGTTGGTACTTACTGCAGGACTGTTCATTTGCATCTGTTAAATAATTTATCACTTACGGTCAGGTTGGGATTAGAGTCTTTACTTGACGACAGAACAAGAAGAATTATTAACAATGAAATATCAGCATAAATAAATAACTAGATCATTAATTAAAAAGTTTCAGGTCAAACTGCTGCCTTTGCATTCATGTCTATCTTCATGTATTCACATGATCCTGAGTGGTGATGAGCAACAATCAGGTGGGTGGAAGCATCTGGTCTGGTCAGGGAAGGAGTAAATGCTGGTAAGTGGAGTGGTGCAGCTGGCTAGGTGATGGGGCCTTTTCCAGGATCACTGGTATTAAAAGGAATGGTAAGGGAGCTAAAATCCCTCCAAAAACACCACCCATCTGTACTGGTGCTGGAGCGTTGGTGGGGGTTTGCTTGTTGTGGTGCTAAATGATGTGTTTCTTTGTTTTTGTCTCTTTTCATCCGGGTTCTGGTGTCAGAGAGAGGGATCCTCTAGTCCTGAAGAAGTCTGGAGCTTGCTGACCTCACTGAAGCAGTTCTTTTGTGGGGTCTCGTGAGACTAAAACATGTCAATGCCTGACTTAAAATGTTTGTGCAGGTTGAACTTATCACAGTTCTCTGTTGTTATGATCTCTGGCTTTTAATAAAGAAATAAATAAAAAAATGTTTTTTTTTACTCACATATGCTGTTTTCTAATAAGGTTTTAACCAGAAATAGCTTTATTTAAATTAACATTTTAATAAATTAGTTACTATTTTACACTAGTTGTTAGGCTGGAAGGACAATCAGCAGGGTTATAGATGTATTTACAATCACATGTTTTCCCCCAAGTTATTAAAAACGTGTTTTAAATTAGTTTAGATCATCTCATGTTCCATCTGACAGCAGGCAGAGAGAACAGACAGACTGAAGATTAAATCCTGGAAACAGTTATCTCTCCTGCTTGGTAGATCTGAAGGAACTACTGACATTAAAGTTTATATTAAGACAAAAAGAAGAGCATCTATGCTAGCATGCAGAGAACAGAAGTGCTCAAATTATAAACCACATTCTTTCATTGATAGGTGTTTTCTATAAACACTTATTTTTATACAATTATACCTATTTTAGCTAAATACGATCTGTAACCCATGTGTTTTCTACGTTTTGTTTGCAATATATCTTTTAAAATTATAAAGTTGATAAATGTTTGTGGCGCTCCAAAAAATAAATGCTTTGATAAAATACATAATTAGTGTAATAATAAACATACCTTATTGGTCAAAAATATCTGTAGAAATGAGAAAAGGGTCGTTTTAGCGTCGAGTCCGGCCAGTAACCGCTGACAGCAACTCTATTACATTTTTTTATTAATCTGTTATTTCTTTTGGCCAAATTTCATATCCATAAATATAAATTTCCTAAAAGCAAACCCAACTTTAACTGTTTCTTAGTGGAGGTCAAGCATTATATGGACTCTATTTGGTTCTCACAAAACCAGAAGACTACTGAAATATGTACCCGCTGGAAGATAATCTGATCCTGATTTATTACTATTTCTGTGTTGATGTTCTCTCTAGATATATGCTACTGTAATCGGTATTTTTCTGTACACCCACCTTTTTTATATCCCCCTGGCACTTTTGTTTTCTTTTTTGTTGTCATCTCACTTGTCTTATTCGTTGTCAACTGTGAGCTTGTAACCTCATTGTCACATTGTATATTCTATTTTTGTTAATAAAGGTTTGTTTAAAAAAATGTTGACTAGCAGCGCTGAGCTGTTAGCGTTAGCATTAGCAACTAAGGGCAACGTAAATCACGTGACCACTGGGTGCTTTGATGGCGTCACGTGACCACTGGTTGCTTTGATGGCGTCACGTGACCACTGGTTGCTTTGATGACGTCACTACTATGCGACTATAAAGGTCAGATCAGATCCCAAATATCGTTGGTTACGTATTGTAACCCCAGATTCTATGAGTCTAGTCTTAGCCCTTAAGCTAGCTGCTATTGGAAGGATGATCTCCGCATCAGCCAATCATGAAGAGCTTAAATGTACGCCCACCAATAGTGGGCCCCCTCATGGTATATAACCGCAGTGACCCCACTGCTCACCTCCAATGGCTCTTATTCCCATCATAACCAGTGGGGCCAGTGGCTTAAGGGCTGCGACTAGACTCATAGAATCTGGGGTTACAATACGTAACCAACGTTCTATTTCGTCTAGTCTTAGCCCTTAAGCTAGCTGCTATTGGAATAAAGCGCAGCTGGATGGGTTTACGCCCCACTGGTTAACACAACCAATGGACACACCCAATCAAATCTCCTCTAGTGGGGGACGTTCAGCCTCAGACCAGGCTTAAAGACTGAGGCAGGCACGATAAGACAGGGGCCCCCACTAAAAAACATCATCCACAAGAGGATGAAATCTATCTCAGCAAGGCCAATGAGGTGCCATAAGCATTCATTTAGCCTGCTGGGGTCCAAGCACTGAACGAGTGATGGATCCTGAAGACACATCTCGTAAATAATAACGAGTAAAGGAACAGGGTGAAGCCCATGAAGCAGCCTGACAAATGTCTTCCATTGACACACCACTGAGGAGCGCCATCGAAGAGGAAATCCCTCTGGCTGAGTGAGCCCTGAGTGCCTCAGGGGGGATCCGGCCCTGATGATGTGTAAGCGAGGGAAATGGCGTCACACAGCCAGCGTGAAAGGCGCTGGGCCGACAGCGCCTGACCAAGGGAAGACTCCCTGTAGTGCACAAACAGGTTTTGTGAGCGACGAATCCCTGAAGTGCGTGACACATATCGTGCAAGCGCGCGCACCGGGCAGAGAAGGTGAGAAGCCGCCTCCTCCTCAGAATTATGGGGAGGAGGAAAAAGTCCAGCCAATGAAATTGACCTGGATTTGAAGGAAGCATTAATGCTTTTGGGCACAAAGGCTCGGTTGGGGCATAAAACAGCAGACCCGCCATCCTCCCGGATCCTGAGGCATGCGGGAGCCACTGAGAGGGCGGTTAGGTCACTCACTCTCTTAACTGATGCTAGCGCCAGCAGCAATGCAGTTTTAAGCGACAGGAACTTGAGTGAGACCTGGTCCAAGGGTTCAAATGGAGCTTCAGATAAGCCACGCAGAACCACCGTTAGATCCCATTGGGGAAAAAGCGGGCGGGACACAGGTCTGTTCCTCCTGACACCTTTTAGAAAACGTTTTGTGAGGGGATGATTGAAAACAGATCTATCTCCAAAACCCTGATGACATGATGAGATAGCTGCAGCATATGTCTTAACAGTGCTGAATGCGAGGCCCCTGTCCATCAGTATCTGCAGAAACGATAGGACATCCGCCAGCTGGCAGGAGAGCGCTTGAACATTCCGTTCTGCGCACCAGTTCTGGAAAGCTGCCCATTTAGCAGCGTAAGACGCAATGGTAGAGGGCGCCCGCGCACTCTGAATCGTGGCGACCACATCATGCGGCAGCCCAGAAGCCTCTAAGCATGACCGCTCAGCGGCCAGACCCACAGCCGTTGGCCTATTTCCGGAGGATGTTTGATTATCCCATCCGCCTGGAGAAGGGCGTCCGCTATGGCGTTTAAAGCGTGCCACAACCCGTGCACGCGCATTGGGTCCACAGCGCGCGTGTGAACGGGACTCGCGAGCGAAAATATACATGGCGAGAGGTCATTTGTGCACTGAGAGGGAGCAAACTGTGTCTGTGAGCGCACAAGGATGTGCACAAGTGACAAACCTGCGTGCGCGCGTTGCCAATGGTTAAATAAATCAGTTGTTGAACCCCCACTCCTCTGTTTGGTCTCCTTTCTTATTACAGCCCACCACTTCCAGTCTGGGTTGTAACAATCTGCAGACAGATTTCTGAGTATCTCCTCCTTTGGTATACAGATCCTCACTGAGCCAAGTACTGTGAACAAATAGTTTCTCCGTGATATTATCCAGCAAGGTCTTGTTTTTGTCAAAACAAGGGTGAGGTAATGAAAAAATAGAAATATTTCAATAAATTAACATTAAAATTATTTATATGCATAATTTAAAAAAAACATGTTTTGAAATATATAAAGTGCACCAAACTTGACTCAGTCCATTCAACAATTCTAAATGGACAATTATGTAACTCATCAATTAATTATTTGAAAGGATAATTTGTCAATTAAATGCTGAAAAAAATAAACAATACATTAATGAGGCAAGAACTTTTTAAACTTGATCATACCTACACCCACAAGTCTATTTTTACCTGGTTAAAACCATCTAGCTTATGTGCACTTTTTAAAACACTGCCCAGCAAACATTCGGACGTTTAATGACAGTTGAACGGTCACAACTGTAAAATAATATCACAGGAATTAGGAAAGAATAATATGACATCAACTCTATGTTCTGTGGCCAGACTTGAACCTGGATCCTCCAGAGTGAGAGTCACCCACTCTCCCAGCTGAGCTATGACAGCAACTGCTGAATCTCAGATTTTTTTATATAGATAGCTAGAGAGTAAAGTGCGGGGTAAACTAACCAATCAGAGGACAGGGAAGATCTGCCACAGGCCACGCCTCCAGAGTGCCAAAACTCCTCACAGCTGAGCGAGCGGAATTAGAAACCGAGCGCGCAGAGGCTGCCGAGCGCGCAGAGAGGCTGCCGAGCGCGCAGAGAGGCTGCCGCGCGCGCACGTTTTCCTCTGCCGTGTGCTCGTTGACAACGCACGCACGCAGGTTTGTCACTTGTGCACATCCTTGTGCGCTCACAGACACAGTTTGCTCCCTCTCAGTGCACAAATGACCTCTCGCCATGTATATTTTCGCTCGCGAGTCCCGTTCACGCGCGCGCTGTGGACCCAATGCGCGTGCACGGGTTGTGGCACGGGTCTGACGCGATACTTAATATAGGATCCAGGTGTTTATGATGTGATTGGAGTCAGCTGTCTATCAGTCTCTCTGCTGTCCTCTTGTGGCGGTTCTCAGGACTCCAGGAGAGTATGTCAGCTGCGTTAGGCTTGCCAGGGCAGAGGTCGTCACATGTTCTTGTGTAATTGTTGTTTAGTTTCTCTAATATAAACATCTGGACAGTGCTCCTACACTGGACTGCATAAACTACCCCACTGAGCTTCAGTTTGGGTGTTTTGTCTTCTGGATGGACCAGGTTCTGTCTGAGGGTGTTGTTGGGTTTAAAGTTTACCGGGATGTTGTGTTTGGAGAAGATTCTTCTAAGTTTCTCTGCGACTCCTGCCACGTATGTGATGATGGTGCCTTTGTGTAAAGGGTGTTGTTGTTAGGTTGGTAGCAGAGCTCTCATGTTTAGTGTTAAGTTCAGTGAGATCATGGAATGGGATCAAGAATTTTCTATTGACAGGAAAAAGATCTCAACTAACATAGCTGTAGATCACACTGGATAAGTCTCTGTGGTGCATTTATTTTACATTTATTTTACTACCTCTTGCTAGAGCTGTCTTTAGTAAGCACAAAATATCTTTGGTTGTACACATGTGCAATAGCAATAAAGTATCTTGATTCCTGTTAAATGTACTTCCTGAATGAGTGACCTTTTCAGGCTAAAATAACAAAATGACAAATACAGACAGAAGGACGACTTCTTTCTTCTTTTATAATGCGTTGCATCACCACCTGGTATCAGAACAGGACTCAGTATTGGAAGATAATCAAAAATCAAACAACTTGGACTCGGATCAGGGGCAAAAATGTGATTGTAACATCTCTAGGTATAAGTCAGCTTTATAAACTAAAACTATTATTTATGAACTAACATTAACACTAATGACACTAACTGATTTATTTATATTATGTTGTTTGAACCCAAGGGTCTCATTATCTGAATTTTCTAACTTATTGGATTGCTCTATAAGTGCCCCTTTTTTTACTTTGAGCACCCGCCCCGTCAAAGGTCTCTGCACGGCCCTGAAGAGCACACATCACTCCTATTCCAATGTCTCTACACTGGTTACCCGTTAACTTTAGAGTTCATTTTAGAACCCTACTATAACTTTCACGGCTCTACATGGTCAAGCTCCTCTTTATGTTACTCAACTGTTAAAACCTTATGCTCCAACCTGAACCCTCAGGTCCACACACCAGAACCTTCTAGAAGTTCCAAAGACCAGATATAAAAGTTGAGGTGATCGCTCCTTGCAGACTGTTGCACCCCGACTTTGGAATGATCATCCTTTATCCTAGCGTAGCATTAACAATCTGGACACCTTTAAAAATGAACTAAACACATACATCTCTTGTTTTCATATTTTTTACTCAAGTTTGTAATCATCTTTCATTTGATTCATGATATTTTATAAATGTATGACTTAATTTTTCTGATGTTAATCTATTTCTGTTTTGAGATCATTATGATTTTATGACTTTGGTTTGTTTTGTTAGAACGTGACACTCCTTTAGCCCTGAAATAAGTGATGATGGTGAGAATTTCACTTCAGTAGCTCAGTGTATGTGTTCGACCCTCACCTTCACTTGTTAAAGACTAAAACTCTTTTTCGATTTTGTAAAACTTAAAACCAAAATCTTTTTCAGTTTTAGTGAACTAAAACTAAATGGTAAGTGGCCTTTATTTGTATGGCGCCTTCTTAGGGTTCTACAACACCCCAAGGCGCTTCACAACACAATTAGTCATTCACACGCTGATGGTGATGAGCTACGATGTAGCCACAACTGCTCTGGGGCACACTGACAGAGGCAAAGCTGCCAAGCACAGGTGCAACCGGTCCCTCTGACCAAGTGTCTTGCCCAAGGACACAACGGCAGCATGCTCTGGTGGGAGCTGAGATTAAACCTGCAACCTTCCTATCAGTGGACAACCCCCTCTACCTCCTGAGCTAACGCTGTCCCAAAACTAAAAGCATTTCTGTCCAAAAGACTGAAACTAAAATGGCCGCCACAAACAACACTGGTTCAGATATTTTTTATTTATTTAAACAACCAAAAGAGAAAATCCTTTACAAACCTGGAGGAGTGAACAGGATACCAGAAACATTCCCCTGACTGACAGGAACCCGGCTGAATCCATCTCCCATGAACAACCTCTCATTAGTGGCCTCAGCCAGCATCCTGCCCTTCACTTCATGAACAGAGAACTTCACCACATGTGGTTTTGAAGAATTAGTCTTCTGAAACCTTTTGTGCATGGTCTCTGACCTCATGGACCACAGCAGACCCATGGGTTCTACTCCATAGTAGCTCCCACAGAGTGAGGTGTCTCTGTTCAGGTCGATCTCCCTGTTACCATCAGCTCTGTAGGTGGCCGAGGAGCTGAACACCACTCCCCTCTCATCGGTGGATCTGGCTCTCATGGCGACCACCTGCCTCGACTTCAGCCCACTCACCTTCACCTGGACGGGGTCATCATCCAAACACCTGGCTCTAGGGAGCAGCTTCAGTCTGACCTGGGCAGACATCTCTGTTTGGAATCAACAGAAACTTGAACCAACGTCGGCTTTAACTTTTCCACTGATACTTGATGTTATAGAAATCAATATTTAACTGAAGTGATGTTACAGAATGGTAGAGCTGGAAGATGAATGTGGCTTATGGTTAAAAGTTTATCCTTAAAGGTTAGTCAGTATTTACATATTTGGCTTGGACTTCAAAATGAGCATTAAGCTGGGTTCAGTGTAGATTGGTTTAAGTGCCAGAGAATGAATGTCCTTCTGAATATTTACAATATGTACTTGGCTTCATAAAGATTCATACAATGGTATTAGTTAGCTTGTGACAAGGACAATGTGACTTTTGCTATACAATGATGAAGTTTTTTCCGTTATGACTTACACTAAGAGCATGTTCAGTGTTTTCTAGGTGAATTTGGATCACAGTGAAGAAACAATTTAACAATTTTTTGTTTAAATGCATAAACTATGTGGTTTATCTTAAAGTACTCATCATAAAAAAAACCTTCATAAAAATAATTTGTTTACAAAACTTCTCTCCACAAATGTTCTTTTTTAGCTTTTTGTCCACATGAATATACTTTTACAGTGAGTTGGTTGGTTCTACAGTAAATGCATGTTTTATATTTTAAATAACATAAGTAATAAATCATGTTTCGTCCGTGCATAATGGACATTTTGGGTTATTTGTTAGCAGCTTGTTAAATGAGACAACTTTCATGCTTTCACTTGCCTAGTTTTTACACCCAGGACTGCTAAAGTCCACTCCCTTTTCTGCCTTCTCATTGGTGGATCTGGCTCCCATGGTGACCTCCAAACTCAGCCCGCTCACCTTCACCAGAACAGGTTAATCATACAAACACCTGGCTCTAGAGAGCAGCTTCTGTCTAAATTGAGCAGACGTCTCTTAATTCAACAGAATCATTAACCAAGGTCGTTGTAAAGAAAATATTGACTGGCACCATTCACGACCTTCCTCCCAACATAAACTTTATCACCTTGTTGCAACACTAAAAAATGTTACACACAAAATGTTGTAGCGTTATGAATATGCCATTTCTGCCCTTAACAGCTGCCCTTTAACACAGTGACAGTGTGTGCATAAATTGCCTGGGTCGTGCGCTTGCTTCTGATGTTTACATTCCAGCAAAGAAGACAGAAGAAGGACGAAGAACGCTTTTAATTAGTTAATCGAAGAACTTTATTTCTAATAAAGCTGATCAAAACAACTGTTGGTCAATAATAATCAGGTGACTGATCTGTGAAATCACAATGTTATGATTTATGTGTTTAATGAATAACAGGACTTTGGGCTAACTGAGCTAGACATCCTGATTCCCATAAGGTAAACACATGATAGATTGTTCACTCATCTAATCAGAACTTCCTTTCTGATGCGTGGCAGAGTTCTGTGGTGTTTAGTTAATCTGTCCACTCCGATTAGCTAAGAATCATAAACAACTAAGCTTAATAAAACAGAACAACGCCATTTTAACTTAGTTCCAACGGAGTTCAACGCAGTTCCAACGGAGTTCCAACCAAGTACTCAACCAGCTCTCAAATCCATCTTATGTCCATCATCGCTAAGTGAAGTACAGACTGGCCAGCTGTATTTTCTACTTTTAAGCTCAGAACTGTCAAGCTGGAAAATTCTGTCGTTTTACAACAAGACGACGGTTCCTTCAGAATAAAAGCTGAACTCTCTGACCCAAAAAGGGGGGTCTCTACATGATGCTGAAAACCTGCCGTTGTACCGGGAGACGATCCATAGACTGGTTTGTCGTGCTGCCGACGCTGTTTCACCAGTTCCAGCACCAAGGAGGGTCCGAGGACCTGGCATCCGGATCTAACACGGAAGTCTCTGCACGGTACATAGATCGACATAGATAGCGTCTCATGTCTTCCTCCTGAAGTCCATCGTCGGTCAGTTAGGAGCAAACAACATCTCGCACTCAGACTCGCCTCCACCAGATGGAGATTCTGAACTGACACACACACACCAACACTTCAGCATTACATTCATCTGCATCCATCATTAGAGAGTTAGTCCTGGTGATTGTTTCAAATAATTATAAAATAAATATTCTTAAATGTCCCATCTCTCTCTTCTTGTCTCTAATTCAATACAAGGTGTTTGAATAAAATTCCCTGCAATAAAAACAACCTCTTTTGATTCTAAGGGCCCGGTCCAAAGATTAATGATCCAGCTCAGGTTTGGATCAGTGATATCTCTGGACCTTAATAAAAGTGTAAGAATATACCAATTATATTCCGCTACAATGTCTATTCTGTGTTTTCTAAGTCCATCCATCCATTATTGTTCGCTTATTCGGGGTCTGGCTGTGGGGGCAGCAGCCTAAGCAGGGAGGCCAATCTTCCCAGCCACTTGGCCAGTTCCTCCAGGGGAATCCCAAAGCGTTCCCTGGCCAGAGACACACTGTGGAGGAAACTAATTTCAGTATCCGCAATCTCCTTCTTTCAGTCACTACCCAAAGCTTGTGACCGTAGGTGAGGGTAGGAACGTAGCTCAACCGGTAAATCAAGAGCATCGTCTTTCAGTTCAGATCTCTCTTCACCATGACAGATCGATATAAGCCCACATCACCTCAGACACAGCACCAATCAGCCTATCAATCTCTCTCTCCATCTTCCCCTCACTTTTGAACAAGACCCCAAGATATTTAGACTCCTCCACTTGAAGCAGGACCACGTCCCTGACCTGGAGAAGGCATTCTACCCTTTTCAGACTCAAGACCATGGTTTCAGATTTGGAGGAGCTCATTATCATCCCAGCTGGTTCACACTCAGCTGTGTACCGCTCCAGTGAAAGCCGGAGATCGCGTTTTGATGAAGCCAACAGGACCACATCTTCAGCAAAAAGCAGAGACCTGATCCATAGGCCACCAGACTGAATCCCATCAACACCTTGGTGGCACCTAGAAATCCTGTCCATAAAAGTGATGGACAGAATTGGTGACAAAGAGCAGCCTTGGCAGGGTAACAACTCTCACTGGGAATGAGCCCGAATTACTGCTGGCAATATGGACCAAGATCTGACACGGGTCAGGGACCTAACAACCTGTATCAAAAGGTCTGGCAAATAACGATGGGTACCGAATTCGGTACTTTTTAAGGTACCGACCAAATTCCATAGTACTGACTGAGCACCGATTCACGTCATTTGAAACGGTGCCTTGTTTCGGTACCCGTCCTTCATAACGAGAACTTGCCTAGACAGCTGCGCATGCACAAGAGCGTTATGTCGTCGGTCGCTGCGAGCAAGTTGTAAACAGAGCAGCATGGTAGAAAGAACGAACGCTAAAGCTTGGGTCCACTTCACTAAATGTGATGGGAAACTGGGGGATGATGAAACCAGCAACAACGATCTAAGTGAGACATCCTCATCTTAATCTGCTCCGGTAGGTAAATAAAATGTTTAAGATAACGTTAGCTTGATATGTTAGCTTCCGTTTCGCTAATGGTGCATTCGCTTTCTCCTCATAACTCCGAATTTCCGACTAGAAGAACATGAACGCGCTCTAAAGTTTGGCTTCACTTTACTAAATGCGATGGGTGATTGGGTGAAGATGAAACCAGTGACAACGATCTAAGTGTGAGGCAACATCGTTTTAATCTGCTCCAGCAGTTAAATAAACTGTTTAAGATAACGTTAGCTTATGTTAGCTTCCATTGCCACCATTGTTATCAGCTAATGGTGCGTTCGCTTTCTCCTCGGAAATTCTAACTTCCCAGTAGGAAAAATAAAATGAAAAAGGATGGCAAAAGGAATGAAGATACACAGTAAATTTAGTTCACAGTAAAGATGTTTGCTTCAGTTTAATTATCAGCTTATAAAACTACAAGGAATATGTTAAAATACAAACAGTTGCATGTTATTTATTGTGATATTTATCAAATATGGGTATATGTTGAGAAAAATATATATTTATTTATAAAAGAGAATTAAAATATTAAACACTCAAAAGTATCGAAAATTGGTACCATTAAGTACCGGTATCGATTCGTAGGTACTGGGAATTAGTACCAAATCAATTCAAATGTCAAAGGTACCCATTCCTACTGGCAAAGACCCTGTACCTGAGGAGTCAATGTGCTCAACACACCCTGGATCTCCCTCCCACCTCTGGTTAAGGTCTGGACTCTGTGGTGGCCAATCCATGTGTGAAAATGATGTCTAATGCTCCCCGAACCACTCTTTCACTATCTGAGCCCGATGAACCCTGACATTGTCGTCTTGGATTATGGCCGTGCCATCAGGGAAGATGGAACAACCTGGTTATTCAGGATATTCAGGTGGTCAGCTGACCTCATTCTTGGAGCCCATCCTGTTGCTGAACCTGGCTAACTGCAGCAAGCCCAGATTATATGGGGTCAGATGGGTGCCAAAACCCGTGCACGCATATTCCGCGTGCACAGGTCCAAAGATGCAAGCGCAAATGTGACTCACTCGTGAAAATTTGAACATTTGAGTGAAAATATACATCGCGAGAGGTCATTTGTGCACTGAGAGGAAGTAAACTGTGTCTGTGAGCGCACAAGGATGTGCACAAGCGACAAACCTGCATGCACGCATTGGCCAACGAGCACACGGCAGAGGAAAACATGCGCGCGGCAGCCTCACTGCGCGCTTGGCAGCCTTTCTGCACGCTCGGTTTCTGATTCTGCTCGATCGGCTGTTGGGGGTTTTGGCACTCTGAAGGCATGGCCTGTGGCTGATCTCTGTCCTCTGATTGGTATTTGGCACCCATCTGACCCAATAAGATCATAGCCCTGCCCCCAAAGGCGTGTACAGTAGGCACTAGGCATGATAGGTGCATCACTTCATCTTCCTCTCTTCTTACCCTGATGCACCATCACTCTGGAACAGGGTCCATCTGGACTCATCAGACCAGTTTTTAATAAAGCATTGGACAGTTCTGAACCCAGTTTTAGTTGTTTCTGCATCTCCTTAGATGTTTCCTCTGCTTGATGCCAATGATCTGACTCTTCTCACACAGACTAAGATTTTTTCCACAACCACCAGATGTGTCTTTCCACATGGTTGTACGAGAAGCAGCTCATTTCACCAGTTGGGTTAAATAACTTGTTGCTAGCTCAAGAGGCGCATTCCTTTTTGCTTAGGTAAATCCAGGCGGTGAAGTTTTTTGGCCAGGCAGTGGATGTGTAGTTGTCTAAGAATAATGAAAACATATTTACATCATTAATTTATTTTAGGTTTTTCTGAAATTACAAGTCCAGCAACTTATTTATTCAGAAAATTACTGACATTAAAACAAGCATCACTTTTATTCACACTCATGATAATATGGTTCAGTAACTTTTTCAATAGAATTGTCATCAAGCTTCAGTACTGACAATTGTTATTTTTTATACATACCGTGTCCTGTCTGGCAGTGAAGTAATCAAAATCAATGTCTGAATGCCAAAGACAAGCCTTGCAGTTTAATTCTCAGAGGCAGAGCACTATAGCTTCTGCTATAACACCACTCCTGATACCAAAACTTTTTTGAAATATTTTCGGTTGTTTAATATACCAACGGTCATGGAGAAATAAGTGCAAGAGAAAGGGGGAGACCAAAGGAAGAGGTGGTGAAGGAGTGTTCACAAACATAAACAATAAATGACAAGCAAGAATTTAGTTCTAGACCTGCAGAAAGAGAGAGAAAGAAAAAAATGGGACACAAAATACAACAAGACCAAAATATCACTGCGCCAACTACATGAGGATATATAAAAGTAACACTTTTTGCTGAGAAAAACACAATAATAATCCATAGAGCATTTAGTGCCAACCACAGCCACCACACAGGTGATGTCTTGAAAATGCCCAAGTCCATCCTTGTGAGAGCACCATGTGAGCACAGATAAAAGGCAAAGCCAAAATGTTAGCAGCTACAGTGCAGAAGGTGCAGCATAAGAAACATTTATTCAAAGGCGGATGAATACATGAAGGTTTTTAATTTTGATTTAAAAGTTACTAGAGTTGGGGCAAATTTGGGGTGATAGGGAAGCTGATTCCATCTGTGTGCAGCATAGTAACTACCGATCATAACTTGGATCTACTCTGAGCAGCATCACAGCTCAAGTGAGTCTTAAAAAACTCCTGGATCTTCTTCCATGCATGGACCTCAGCTGCAGCATGGGAGCTGGGTTCACCCCCCCACAGAACTGGGATGGTTGTAGTACCTTGAAAGCTTGAGGAGCAGAACGGTCCATAAGGAGGATTCAGGAAGTGTCCAGCGCCAGGGTAACTCACGGTCTCAAAATTGTGCTTCCCATGACTCCTCAGCCTCTCCACCAGCTGGTCCATGTAGGTCTTGCTGTCCAAGTTCAGGTCGTCTTCTGACGCCACAAAGAGGAAACGACTAGAGGCTTGTTCAATTGGGATCATGGTGGCCCTGTTTTCTCTTTCTAGAGGATTCCTCAGACAATATTTGCAAATGAAGGCCCCTGACTCAGTGGGCACCCTTTTACTGACATCATACATTAATGCAGGAAGAATGAGCTCATTCTTGTAGTAAAGAGGGAAAGCTGCATTGGCAGAGCAGCCATTGACCCAAACAACAGCTTCAACACCGGGCACAAATGCTGAGAGTGAGAGAGCAACATCTGCACACTTTGAATGGGTCAGTATTCCAACTCCTTTACTGCCCACCTGTAGAGAGACAAATTAATGACAGTCAGCACTTAGAATGAGAGTTGTAAGTTTAAAGTACTTTAATGGCTGAAAGAATCACAGGAAAATAACTCAGATTGGAGAAGAAATAAACCATGGGTCCCAAGCGTGGCTGTGTCTGCAGCTCACTGCTCCCCCGGGGGATCGGTCAAATGCAGAGGACAAATTTCACACACCAGTGAGATAACTAGTGTGAAGTTAACTTTACAGCAAGGTGTTCATCACCTTAGGTAGTTTTTGTAAGAAGTTCACAGCATCTTCAAAGTGGTCCAGGTGGATCTGTTTGTCCTTCAGGGGTTTGTCTGGGAACAAAGTTACTGCAAGAACAACAAAGCCTTTGTTGGCCAGCAGACTGGCTCTTCTGTCACAGAACACAGTCCTAAAATCCAGCACAGCAGGAAATGGACCTTCACCTGGGTAACAGAACAGAGTACACAGTATACATCAGAAAGGTTTACTTTAACACTAGAACTCCCACAGCGGTCATTTCGACTGATTCCATAATTTCATATGCAATAACTGGAACCGAGAAAAGAGTGCATCAGTCTAATTTTAATGTCCCTGCACTGGCTTCCAGTCAAATATCGTGTGGTTTTTTAGATTTTGTTATTTGCTTTTAAAGCTCTTAATGGTCTGGCCTCTGCATCTATTACTGAGCTTCTTTCCTTTCATAACAAAGCTTGATGTCTGAGATCAGCAAACCAATTGCTTTTAACTTTCCCTCTGTCTGAGCGTGTTAGAGAAGGCAAGTAAGTATTTATTTGTTTAGCACTCTTAACAGACAGAATCACAAAGTGTTTCGTATGGATTAACACAAAACAAATCATAAAGTCATAAAACCATAATGATCTTTAATTCATGATTTCAAGGCTGGATTACTGCAACTCTCTGTATGCTGGATTGGGTCCGACTGCTCTTCGACGTTTGCAACTGGTGCAGGACAGTGTGGCCAGGTTTCTGATGGGGTCCAAGAAATGGGACCATATTAGTCATGTGCTGGAAACACTGCATTGGCTTCCGATTTCCTATAGGGCACAGTTTAAACTCCATTTATTTGTCTATCAGTTTTTTCAGGGCAGTGCCCCTCTATACCTTGGGGTTCTGTTAAAAAGACACGTACCCTGAAGGTCATTGCGCTCGGCAGATTATTTCCTGCTGACTGTTCCTCGCTCCAGGTCCAGGACATGTGGGGTTAGGGCATTTTCTGTTTCAGCACCGTCCCTCTGGAACGTTAGCTCTCAACATGAAGCTGTCTCCATCTTTTGCTGCTTTTAGAAGTCGCCAGAAGACTCATTTTAATCGTCTGGCTTTCACTTAATCTGTTCGGTGGCTCTTTTTAACAGATTTTACTAGTTTTTTCTTTCTGTTTGCTATTATCGATTTATTTCTTTTTGATCTTGGTCTTGCTGGTGTTTTTCTTTTCTGTTTAATTCGTGCTGTGTTCAGCGCTTTGAGTCCCCTTTGAGGATGATGGAAAGCGCTATATAAATAAAAGCTAATTGAAGCTGATTGAAGCCAATTGATTAAATCAGAAATAGATTAACATCAGAAGATTAAAGTCATAAAATTATAAAATACCATGAAACAAATGAAAGATAACACTCTGCAATGAGCAATCACCTCGACTTTTATATCTGGTCTTTAGAACTTCTAGAACGTTCTGGTGTGTGGACCTGAGAGCTAAGGCTTTTATCTGTCCAAGAGGGTGTATGTACAGTAGAAACAAGAGTGGACCCAAAACAGAGCCTTGATAAGGCTTGTTAAGATGTATGACCGAGCTGACCCATGCATCGTGGAAATTTTTTATCACCAACTTCCTTCTGACAAGACTGAATATCTGATCACTGCCCCTGAAAGCATGGTTGCCCTGATTAGTCAACAACTTGTTCATTTATCTTCTGCCGTCAAGTCAAACTTGAGGAATTTGACCAATCAATGTCTCTTGAAGGCCACTCAAAAACGTTGGTCCGAAACTGTTTTCATCACGTAAGAAATATCTCCAAACTTCAAAGGTTTGTGTCAAAACATGAACTTGAAATGGTCATCCATGCCTTTATCTCCTCCCGTCTAGATTACTGTAACACACTCTTCACATGTTTTAACAAAAAAGCCCTTGACGGCCTTCAGTTGGTCCAGAATTCTGCAGCGAGGCTCCTAACTGGAGCAAACAGAAGAGCACACATCACTCCTATTCTAATGTCTCTGCACTGGTTACTGTGCTATGTAAATAAAATGTATTTACATACTTGCTGTTGTTTTTACTTTGTTATTGTTGTTCAGTGCATTGGTCAATCTCTGATAGTTTTTTAAATGTGCTATACTGTCAGGGACCGAACTGTTTTAAATTAGCCACAGGAAAAGGGAATCAGAAAAATCAGGGTTTTACTCTCCCAATTTAACATAATTACAGAAATGACAAATGGGGCCCCTGAAAGAGGTCAACTTAACTAGAAAGCTTTACAGCAACATAACCTTAGCAAACAAAACACCATCTGACCTCCTACAGGAAACACTAAGAAGGTTTTTATACTGGCTGGTCAGTCCATTACAAATGAGAGGGAAAGGACCACAAATACAACATTAAAGACTAAACAGTATAGGAATAAATGACTAGTTATTAAGGTTACATTTACTGAAAATTAAATAGACAATTAATTAGCAAACCAATTTAAATAAATGGAAAAAAACAATAACAAAGCAAGACCAAAATAAGCCTTAGCGCGCCCCCCCCCCCCCCCCCCCCCCCCCCCCCCCCACACACACACACACACACACACACACAAATTTTCAGTCAGTGGCCTTTCAGGAGTATCAGCTCTGGCTTCAACTTCTGCCACATCACCTCTTTGTCCCTGGGGAAATGGAAATTTACTGGCAACTCAAGACAAGCAAAGTTGACATTACACATTACACAATAGAAAATGTGAATAAACAAGATCAACTAAACGTGCACGCAATACATCCAAGTTATCTGACTCAACTTAATAAAGCTAAACAAAAATCAAACTTGTGTGTGAGTGCATGAATAATATAAAAAGCTTTAAGTGCCTAGAAAAGCACTATGAATATCTAATTCGTAATTAAATAAACATGTATTTATTTCTGTTTAAATATTGTTTCGAATGCTTTATATGTACCCTTAGTGTCCATTCTGTTTAGGAAAGAAATCCGAATTTTCTTTTGTGAAAATCTACTGTCTGATGCACAGATCTGCATCAAAAATCTCATTATGTACAGTATAGTGATCATCAATGAAGTAACGAGAAAGGATACCACTCTGATTGTTTCACTGGACAAAATCTGAGGCAGCTAAGCTCCTCTCCTTTAGCCCTGAAATAAGTGATGATGGTGAGAATTTCACCAGTAGCTCAGAGTACGCGTTTGACCCGTACCGTCACTTGTTAAAGACTAAAACTCTTTTTCATTGTTGTAAAACTTAAAACTAAAATCTTTGTCGACTAAAACCTTTTTGAGTTTTAGTCGACTAAAACTAAAAAAACTTTCTGTCCAAATGACTGAAACTAAAATGGCCGCCACAAACAACACTGGTTCATATATTTTTTATTTATTTAAACAACCAAAGGAGAAAATCCTTTACAAACCTGGAGGAGTGAACAGGATACCAGAAACATTCCCCTGACTGACAGGAACCCGGCTGAATCCATCTCCCATGAGCAACCTCTCATTAGTGGCCTCAGCCAGCATCCTGCCCTTCACTTCATGAACAGAGAACTTCACCACACGTGGTTTTGAAGAATTAGTCTTCTGAAACCTTTTGTGCATGGTCTCTGACCTCATGGACCACAGCAGACCCATGGGTTCTACTCCATAGTAGCTCCCACAGAGTGAGGCGTCTCTGTTCAGGTCGATCTCCCCGTTACCATCAGCTCTGTAGGTGGCCGAGGAGCTGAACACCACTCCCCTCTCATCAGTGGATCTGGCTCTCATGGCGACCACCTGCCTCGACCTCAGCCCGCTCACCTTCACCTGGACGCGGTCATCATCCAAACACCTGGCTCTAGGGAGCAGCTTCAGTCTGACCTGGGCAGACATCTCTGTTTGGAATCAACAGAAACTTGAACCAACGTCGGCTTTAACTTTTCCACTGATACTTGATGTTATAGAAATCAATATTTAACTGAAGTGATGTTACAGAATGGTAGAGCTGGAAGATGAATGTGGCTTATGGTTAAAAGTTTATCCTTAAAGGTTAGTCAGTATTTACATATTTGGCTTGGACTTCAAAATGAGCATTAAGCTGGGTTCAGTGTAGATTGGTTTAAGTGCCAGAGAATGAATGTCCTTCTGAATATTTACAATATGTACTTGGCTTCATAAAGATTCATACAATGGTATTAGTTAGCTTGAGACAAGGACAGTGTGACTTTTGCTAAACAATGATGAAGTTTTTTCCGTTATGACTTACACTAAACCAGTGGTTCCCAAACTTATTTAGCCGCGCACCCCCTTCTATGTCCCGACCATGTCGACACACCCCCCAGCCCCCACATCAGGTCATGGCTATATATATATATATATATATGTATATATATATATATATATATATATATATATATATATATATATATATATATATATATATATATATATATATATATATATATATATGTATCAGACGTCAAGCTAAACAGACAGGGTAAAAAAAATATGATCGACCTTTTTCCCCATCACTTTCATTTTTTAAATAGTAATTAATAAACATTCGATACCATTACAATTTCCTTTGATTTAATTTTAAATAAATATTTAGAGTGCCCAGGTAGCACATAAACAATGCAATTTAACAGTTTTCTTTAAGTAGGAACGTTTAACCTGTGCGGCCAGAGCGCTCTCCTTCCTTCTGCTCTGCGAAAACCTGAGCTGATCACCTGCTTGTGCGTAATCAAATGTCTATAGGGGAAAAGATGGAAAAGCCATGAGGTTCACTTTTGCCTCAGACCGACTTATTGCTGTTTTATGGTGTGGCTGAATCTGCGATCCGCTGCCACGCGGACTGGAATAGCAAGTGCTGCAGTAACAGGCGTTGTTGTCAGGTTCGGAGTCACTGGCTGGAGCGGACCCGACTTTAATACGTCATCCCAAAATAGAAGCTAATATCTTAATATGACCTGGAATGAAAAATGTTATAAAACCTCTTAAAAGTTTTTATCACGGAGGCAGCGCTCATTTCTGCCTTCAGTCTGACGGCGAGCCGGAGTCTGCGCAGCGTGCGCGCTTATTGAATCTCTGTGTGTGTGTGTGTGCGCGCGTGCACGCGGCACAGCTCCATGAGCCGCTCCAGTCACTGCGTCTCGTTATTGGCGCTATTTAAACCAATGTTGTAAAATTACTTCTGCCCAGCCCAGATGTGCTCACTTGCGCACCCGTGAGCCGTGGTTCCGCTGGAACACGTCTGACCTCTGACAGACGCACTCTGAACTTCAGGTCTTCAGCGCGCTGTTAATAGCCTGAATGGGAATCATTTATTGATTTATTTTGTTACATCCACAATGTTCTGTGTGTGAGGTTTACAATGTCAGAACACCTGCATGAGACAGGGTGTTAATTGCAATCTGCCAGAATGACTCGCCACCTTCAGATTTCTCCAACATCGTTAAAAATGATCAAATACGGAACATATTGGCGTGCGCAGGCCAGAGTGCTGAAGCTCGGCGCATTGTTATTATGAAGCTTGGGCACATGTGGAGGACACGCGCGCAAAAATATACTTGTTTTCAGTTACATTTATTGGGTCCACTTACTTTTTCTTTGGCCCACCCACAAATGAGTTTCTGGCTACGCTAATGGTGACATATGACAGACTTCTCTGAGCTCCGCAGCCATTACACTTTTCACCTCGTGCACCCCCTAGCGGCAGCGGGGGTGCGCGCACCACACTTTGGGAATCCCTGCACTAAACAATAAGAGCATGTTCAGTGTTTTCTAGGTGAATTTGGATCACAGTGAAGAAACATTTTAACAGTTTTTTGTTTAAATGCATAAACTATGTGGTTTATTTTAAAGTACTCATCATAAAAAAACCTTCATAAAAATAATTAGTTTACAAAACTTCTCTCCACAAATGTTCTTTTTTAGCTTTTTGTCCACATGAATATACTTTTACAGTGAGTTGGTTGGTTCTACAGTAAATGCATGTTTTATATTTTAAATAACATAAGTAATAAATCATGTTTCGTCCGTGCATAATGGACATTTTGGGTTATTTGTTAGCAGCTTGTTAAATGAGACAACTTTCATGCTTTCACTTGCCTAGTTTTTACACCCAGGACTGCTAAAGTCCACTCCCTTTTCTGCCTTCTCATTGGTGGATCTGGCTCCCATGGTGACCTCCAAACTCAGCCTGCTCACCTTCACCAGAACAGGTTAATCATACAAACACCTGGCTCTAGAGAGCAGCTTCTGTCTAAATTGAGCAGACGTCTCTTAATTCAACAGAATCATTAACCAAGGTCGTCTTTGTTTTATTTTTATGATACTTGACGTGGTTATGAAAAGTTACCAAACTGATGGTACAAGCTGTGACGACTGCTGGATTAAGGTTACTCATTAAAAAAGGTTATCATTAGTAAATTAATAAGCTGTTCCTTTTTTTTATATTTTTGGCTTGAACATCTAAAATGAGCATTAATCTGGACTCAGAGCTCAAGGTTTATTTGATTTGAATGTCAGTGAATGTTCTTTCGAACTTCTTTTATGGTTTGACTCAAAAAAAAAAGAAACTCTGAATATGAATTTAAACATATCTTTAGCATTTTTCAGCTCAGTCTTTTTTCACATTTTGTGCATCTTTCCTTCAGAATGGGAAGAACAAAGCTAGTGTCCTACACCCTAAACTAAAATTCACTTTTTAAGAGATCCAATATTGTTCGCTTTTCCGGGGTCTGGCTGTGGGGACAGCAGCCTAAGCAGGGAGGCCCAGACTTCCCTCTTCCCAGCCTCTTGGCCAGCTCCTCCAGGGGAATCCCAAGGCGTTCCCTGGCCAGAGACACACTGCGGAGAAAACTAATTTCAGTATCCGCAATCTCCTTCTTTCAGTCACTATCCAAAGTTTGTGGCCGTAGGTGAGGGTAGGAACGTAGCTCGACCGGTAAATCAAGAGCTTCGTCTTTCAGTTCAGATCTCTCTTCACCATGACAGATCGGTATAAGCCCTCATCACCTCAGACACAGCACCAATCAGCCTATCGATCTCTCTCTCCATCTTTCCCTCACTTTTGAACAAGACCCTGAGATATTTAGACTCCTCCACTTGAAGCAGGACCACGTCCCTGACCTGGAGAAGGCTTTTCAGACTCAAGACCATGGTTTCAGATTTAGAGGAGCTCATTATCATCTCAGCTGCTTCACACTCAGGTGTGAACCGCTCCAGTGAGAGCCGGAGATCACGTTCTGATGAAGCCAACAGGACCACATCTTCTACAACAAGCATAGACCCGATCCATAGGCCACCAGACTGAATCACCTCAACACCTTGGTGGCACCTAGAAATCCTGTCCATAAAGTGATGGACAGGATCAGTGACAAAGGGCAGCCTTGGCGGAGTCCAACTCTCACTGGGAACGAGCCCGACTTACTGCTGGCAATGTGGACCAAGCTCTGACACCAGTCATACAGGGACCTAACAGCCTGTATCAAAAGGCCTGGCAAAGACCCTGTACCTAAGGAGTCAATGTACTCTACACACCCTGGATCTCCCTCCCACCTCTGAGCAACTGGGATCCAGAATGTGCACTGAGGCTGCGGGCTCTCTCTAGTATGAGGAGGTTCCCAGCCCCCTCCCAACAACCTATAATTTCCTACGTTTTGTGTTTTTTTTCTCCTGCAAACCATCTCTGTACCCCGCAGGGAGCAGAGTTGGGCAAATGATTTTTTCTCCTTTATTGCTCCCCACCCTCGTGAAACCCCATTTTCTTTATCTGCAAAATGGGAGCACCTTAGGGTTGCATGCCCACAGTTATTTGTTTCCTGTCTATGTATTCCATGTATTGCTTGCCTGATCTTGGGAGTGGTTTTACTGAAACTACATCTCGTTGTACTGAAACGCTGGTTCAATGACAATAAACTTCTATTCTACTCTAAATAAAGCTAACAGGCCAACCATGCATAACTTACTGCCTGGGCAAAGTAAAGACGCCACCAAAATAAAAAGTTCACACACTCTAATATTTCGTTGGACCACCTTTAGCTTTGATTATGACACTGCGGCGTTGTTTCAATGAGCTTTGCAACGTCACCAGATTTCTTTCTATCCATGTTACATTAAAGTTTCACCAGCATCTTGCAGTGATGCTTCAGTATGACCTGGGCAGACAGCTCTGTTTGGAATCAACAGAAACTTGAACCAATGTCTGCTTTCATAGTTCTTCTAATACATTGTGTTATTAAATGGAGAACAGTGGCGACCCACAAAGTATTTGTGGAATTGCAGCTTTTACACTTTTATCATTAATATAATTCATAAGCAAGCCAGGGACCAACCGTGATGGACCTCAAGTGACAAATGAGATGTGCATATATTATCTATTCAGTATTGATAATCTTATATTTCACTATGGTGGACGTGCATTTCTGTTCACCATAGTGAAATGCTAGATATTAATGATATTGTTGCTACGTAGGACTAGGTGTGTTAAAATTACATTATTTATATGTAATGATGAGCTTCTCCATTATAAGATATCTGTTTCCCAGATATGAGAGTAGCACCTGGTCCTGGTGACCCAGCCAGTTACAAAAACTAGTATCCTAACTTTTGTAAATTTGTAAATCATCCAGTGTAATCATATTACGGTATAAATCCTCCCAGGTGAATTCTGACTAAATCGACCACTTGTTCAAATCTATGAACCCTGGAGCATGGGGAAGTAAAGGTCGGATCCCAAGCTAGCTAACTAACTTTTGTAACTACCATACTCAATTTGCCCCAACTAGTGGACGCCAGGCTAACCTGGCATAAAGAAAAGCAATCTAAATCGCTACTTTCCCCCTCCGTTGAATATTCGTGTAACTCACTATTGACATCCACCATGGCAGACCCTACGTCAGGTGACGTGGCTGAAAAGGGTCAAAATGACTCCATCGTAATGCTGATGATATTAATGTGTAGATAAAAGACGGAAAGAGGAAAACACTGACTGTCTTTGGAGGACCACTATCCTGGTGGGTGAGCCAATCCTGGAAGTCAGAACAACAAACAGATTGAGAGCTGTTTTAGTGAAAAATGACAGTCAAGCAAAATCAATCAGTTCCACCCTAGAATATAGAAAGATGTCAATTTTGCAGCACGGTAAACACAGAGAAATTTGAAACAACACAAACAAGCCAATTAAGTGAAAAATGAGGCTAACTAGTAAACAGTAAAGCTGCAATGGCAAATTTAGAAAACAAATTAGCTTAAAACATTTTTTCATGCCTTTTAAAAATGTTCTAACATAATAAATAAATTGTGGAGATTAAAAAATTCAATAAAG